GGTGCCTGGTCAAACTTTCCGAGAGGAGAAGGAACAGTGACTGCCTCCGCTGTAATGCAGGAGGATTGTTTTCAGGGTTAGTGCTACGTGTCCAATTCTGTTCACCATCACTCACAATAACCGATACAATACAAGAGAGATTTGGAACTGGGGGTTGTAGTGATGGATCTTGCTGTTAGGGTGGATGGAGGCTATATCAAGTCTGATCAGTGTATGGGTGTAAAACTGCGTCACAGAGTTGTGCAGTAAGGCATCATTGTATCCTCCACTAACAACATCCTGGGAGCTACCATGAACCACAAACTGAACTGGACTCGCCCTATAAATACAGTGGCTACAAGAGCAGGTCCAAGGCTACGGATATTGCAGCAAGTAATTTACCTCCTGACTTCTCAAACCTGTCCAAAATCTCCAACATTCAAGTCCGGAATGTAAAGGTTTCCCCTTTGTGGCCCCCATCACATGTGTTAGTGCAGCTCCAACAACACACGGCAAGCAAAATACTATCCATGAAAAGACTGCTCCTGTTTGATTGGCACCACATTCACAAACATCCTCAAACATCAAATGGACAGCACCTTCCAAATCCACGACCACTTCCATCTTGAAAGACAAGGGCAGCAGGTTCATGGGAACTGCACGATCTGCAAGATCTTCTCCAAGCCACTCGCCACCCTGATTTGGAAATATATCGACGGTTCGTTCTGTGTCAATCGGTGAAAATCCTGCAATTACCTTCCTAATGGCAATGTGGGTCTACCTACAGCTCAGAGACTGCAACGGTTGAAGAAGGCAGTTCACTACCACCTTCTCAAGGGCATTTCATGAGAGCCAATCAATGCACAGACCAGCCAGTGATGCCCACATCCGGCATTTTTTTTTTCTTTGAAAAGTCTGCATTATTCTTGCCCAATAACAAAGACTGTCCAATTTTGAAATGAAGCATGGACTGGGTGATCGCTTCGCAGAACATCTATGTTCTGCTCGCACAAAAGACCCCAAACTACCTGTTGCCTGCCACTTTAATGCACCACCCTGTTCCCTGGCCAACATCTCCGTCTCTGGCTTGCTGCACTGTCCCAGTGTTCCAGCTTGTTCGGCAAGCTAGAAGAACAACACCTTATCTTCCGCTGGGGGACCCTGCAGCCCTCCAGACTCAATATCGAGTTCAATAATTTTGGGCCTAAACTGTACCCCACACAAGGCCTTGTTACCACATACCCTGCCACTATCCACCACCTACTGTTAGTCACTAATAGTCCCCATTAACTACTATTGAACCTCCCAGCCTGATCGTTATCAACTCTTTGTCTGTCCAAATGCTCTTCTCTCTCTTTAGGCTCTATCCTATCGTTTATTCCCAACACGATCCCCCTCCCCTTTTTTCTGCATATATCCTGACATTTTCCGAGCCACCATCAATTCTGAGAAAGGGTCATCGGACCCAAAATGTTAACTTTGTTTTTCCTTCACAGATGCTGCCAGACATAGAATCCCTCCAGGCCATTTGGCCGAACAAGTCCACACCGCCCCTCTGAAGAGGACCCAACCCAGACCTATTCCCCTACTCTTGATTTGTCATGTCTAACCCACCTAACCTAAACATCCCTGGACACTACGGGCAATTTAACATAGGCAATCCACCTAACCTGCACACCTTTGGATTGGGGGAGGAAACCGGAGCATTCAAAATTAGGCTCTAACTTTTATTCTGTATGAAAACAGTAAGGGAGGTTACATGAGCAGAACAAAACATTGGCATATAGTTCACAGTTATGCTCCTAATCTGCAGCAAACTTCATAGAATCATCATCGAATCCCTACAGTGTGGAAACAGACCCTTCGGTCCAAATAAAAGTCCACACCGACCCTCTGAACAGCATCCCAACCAGACCCATCACCCCGCTCTTTCCCTGCAACCCTGCATTTCCCATGGCTAACGCACAACCTAGAGGAGCGCATGCGTGAGGCCCACCCCCAGCGCTGCCATTGAGGAGCATTGACTCAGTGAGTGGAAGAGGTTTGTTTGAAACAGACCGCAATGGAGAGATCAGCGCCCAGGGAAGCGAGGGAACAGCAGGCTCCGTCCAGCAGGACATCGAGATGTGAGCCTGGGACACAGAGTGTGCTCCGAGACCGGCATTGATTCGGGCTCAGTTCAGGGAGAACCGGGGGCTGTTTGTAAGAGGCCGAGCGGAGCAGGAACTGGTCCCGGAACTTGGAGTGAGCAGCCTGGGGTGGAAGAGAGAGGCTGTGTGTGGGCCTGCTGAGAGAGACACAGCCGTAGGAAGCTGCTGGGGGTCATTCTTGTGGCTTTTCATCCTCTAAACTGTGATGGAAATTCGTCGTTCGGCTTCTGTTTCACGCTGTTTTTGGACATTGTGCCGTGAACAGTGGAAACACAGACTAGAGGAATGTTATAACCCTGAAAAGGACAGTTAATTGAGTCACCAGGTTAAATTTCTCACCTGAAACATTTAAAATAGCGCCCTTTGTTCTTCCTTTTAACATTTAGTGTGTTGGGAGCCGGATATTGAACTGTGTATGCATGCCTGTTGCTTCGGTTAGCCCCATGTATGGAACTGTGCAATTATTGCTCCGTTTCTGGATCTCCCTCAGTTGGTACCGAATTATTTCAGAAAAAAGAAATACAATGAGAATCCCCAGACAAGGAGCAGCTCTGGGGAACAGGGAATAAGACCTCTGGTTCTGTTCAAATTGCTCGTTTTCTTTAAAAAAAACACATCCCAATGATTATGAACTTAATGTTATGTTGATTAGTTCAATACTGCCAGACTTTCTGTATGTTGATTTACGGGAGGTGTGTCTTCTGTCTTCCCCCAGGCAAATATTTGAAGGACCAGGATGTTGTTATATTTCCTCGGTACAAAATCAAGTCTGACCAGCTGCTTCTAACAAACAGTAGGTATGTAGCCCACTGACATTGACACTGGTTTTGAAGATGGAAAGACTGAATGGTCATCTGAAATAGACACTCGGGAACTGTATTAAATCTGCATTGAATAAGGGCATTTTCAAAGTTACAATCAAGACAAATAAATAGATCATGCTGGAACATAGTTTCAACAGCCATACCTCAGCGAGATGTTAAGTACAGAAATG